GTATCAATTTGACTGTATGATCTGGTTGAACTGTAAAGTGCCTTGAGATGACATGTGTTGTGAATTTGGCGCTATATAAATAAATTGAATTGAAATTCTTAGGAGAAACAGAGAAAACCTTAACCAAACCATACTTTCAATACACTATCAGTGGTTCTCAATCCTGGTCCTCAAGTCCCACTGCTCTTCATGTTTTGGATGTCTCTCTGTTTCACACCTGCTTGAAATGATTGGAGCAGCCATTAAGCGCTGCAGAAGCCTCTTAATCATCTATTCATATAGGTCAGCTGATTACGCAAATGCTGGCATTGTTTTGAGGTTTTAACAGGATTTTTGAAAAGGGCTCCTTTTTTAGTGGTCAGTCAATCCAATATGAGTTATATTTAATAACAAAGCTCAAACTCCTCTCTTCATGTGGCTTCATCAGAGCAGCAGAGAAAGTAATAACTCAGTCTGAACTAGGCCACAGCAGCACATGCAGATGCAGAGCCAGTCCCCAAGCCAGACAAGACACTGGTTGCAGGAAGATCTACAGATAAAGAATTTGCCTCTGGCCTGTAACCACTGAGGAGTTGATTTTTCTGAGCTGTCTAACTAGTGTTCCCTGTTTCCATCAAGTTCTTTAGCAACCATTGCCTGTTTCCTCTGAAAAAGGGGGGCAGAAATCACTGCCATAAAAATGTCATTATGGTACCCCAGTCATTTGGATATAATATATACAATCAGCAAGATGTAAAAAGCTTTCTTCAGTGTCTTTTCTCCATAGTGCAGAGCATATCATCTTTGCCACAGGCATATATTACATTTTTATGCTGCAATTTTTGACTCTTCTCTCTCTTAGTTCTTGTTTTTTGATTGACAGAAATTGTAATCTGCCAGTGCAACCTTTAAGCTTTGTACACAATAATAACCTAGAATCATCGTTGTATGAAATGCTTATTTTCTCTAGATTATCCACAATCAACCTTTGTTAGCATCTTGGGACATTTCTTTAGAACCAAAGCTCAGCAGAATTAATCTTTTCCCCTTTTTACTGCAGAGAATACAGCTAGCTCTGATAGAAGTTTGTTAATATTTTAGGCGTGTGTGTGTGGGGGGGTAATTGTGTGTGTTAGGAGGATTTTCAAAACTTAGTGTAGGAGGCTGAGGCAGGCAGTGTGGTTTGATTAACAGCAGATGTTCCCCAACAACTCAAACACAAGATTGGGCTGTAAGTCCTGGGCAAACAGAAAAATGAGCCTCCATCTCTTTGTTCAACTCTAAACATAGTGCTCTAAATGACTATTTTACTGCAATACCTCTTTACTTTGTGGATGAAATGTAATTAGTGAAAAAGCAGCTGTCACAATGACAAAATTTACATGGAGTTTTGCAAGGCTCAAAAGTTATTTCTCCTCTCTTTATGCATGTGCAGCCGTATTTATGGTGGTGTTTTTGAAAGCTCTGAATTATAGAGTTAAAGAGTGTTGCCGAAATTCTGTTTGTCTGTAATTTACAACAAATAAGAATAGTAAAAAGTTCAAATGCAAAGATTTCAAACTACGCTATGAGCAGTGGCGCCACCAGGTGGTGGCCAAGGATGGCCATGTCCAACCTCAGCTCAACTCAACTCAACTTTAGTGTCAAATGTGCTACATGGTAAACATACAACACAGATGAAATTTCAATCCTCTCAACCCCACGGTGCATAATAAAATATAAAATATAATGAACCATAGCATAAAATAAAAATAGAAATAAAAAACTAAGATATAAAAATAATTATTAAAATATTTAAATATGCAAACAGTAGTGCGAATGATGCAAATAGTGCATAGAGTAGCGGTCCTGATGTGGGACAAGTACTGTAGTGGGGGACGGGGGTATTTGGGGTCCGGGGGTCTAAGGGGGGCAGGGCAGGGAGGGAATTGAGCATCCTCACTGCCTGGTGGAAGAAGCTGTCTCTGAGCCTACTGGTTCTGGCCCAGAGACTCTGCAGCCTCCTCCCGGACGGCAGCAGGGTGTGCAATGCCCTGGCCACCCCACGGGCGACCCCACTCACCAGGTTAAATTGTAGTACCATCTGTTAAAGGAGAAGTTCGGTTTTTTACACTTTAAGCCCATTTTCTCTAGTGTCCAGGAT